ATGGGTTTAGAAACTGGGCTGATGGGAATCGAGAGGATCTGCAGTAGGGTCGATCAGGACCCGGTAGAAATTGGGGGGTGGTTGATGAGGAGCATTGCCGTCACCAAACGTACCAAAAGCACATGATTACATGTAGCTAGGGGAGCCGAGAAAGCCGTGTCTTGCGCGCGGAAAAAGAAGGAGAGAAATAAAACTGAAACCAAAAAGGAGTTACGAAAGATGATGAGTTGTCGAAGTGATCGTGGTTATGCTTGAGAGCTGACATAGCATAGTTGATGAAGACGTCATTCGTGTTGGCCAACTCGTCTTGTGACCCTCCAAAGGAAAGCCCCGGAAGAGAGCTTCGAGGGTTTGGAGAAGACGACAGGTAGAGATGAGTCGAGGTATGCCGTCCACTTGGCAAGACTGAGGGATCGTTGGAGGGTAACCTTGTGGAGCGTACGAAGTCGTCTCCAGATCCAGAACATGGGTAGGGTTGAATAGGTTCCTGAGATGAGCAAATGGGTACTTTGTACAGGGTAGGTACCTATGCGTACCTAACCTAGGTGTGTAAGCGAATAGGCCGTTGGACGGTCCCCTCGGACTAAAGGCCACTGATCTGACCAGCATGTAATATGAGGTAGGTGGCCTGTTGGTCTGTTGGATGAACAAGCAGTTCAAAAGTAAAACTGCTGATTTCTATTATCTGACTTCCAGGGGTAACCACTTACATGTACTCGATTTGGCTTCTTCTGCTGCAGGCCAGGCTGAATGTGGTATAGATACGACGGAATAATCATATTAGTAGTTTTTCCTCCAGTAAAGAGGTAGCAGAAGGCTTCGATTTAGCCAAGACTGACGCTAAAACTGACGCTAGAAAGCTTCTATCTCTCCCACATTCTCGGGCAATATTCCAGAAACCACGTTTGCTGTCGTTAGTGATCTTTGTGTGATGCAACGATGTAAGGAATGCGACTCTGTGTACCTTACGGATCTTTGTCTATATCCTTTCGTACTTTTCCCCTGCTTTTTAAGAAATGCGGTCTATTGTATTTAACCGGATTATGTACTGTTCTCTCGATTGTTGAGTTTGAAAAGAGGATATTGAAAAGAGGATAAGTTTGGTAGGACGTGACATTTCGCTGAATCTGCCAATGATGGACCGACGCCCGCTGGTCTCCTGTTTTGAAAGGAAGTTGCCCCACCAAACGCGGGGCAATCAAATTTCAGGTAGCCGGTGGGCAATTGTTTAGTGGGGGAGGCGGGGCTCTTGCTCGTGCCGCCAAGCGAGTGGGGGCGGGGTACCTTTAAGTTAGGTACCTAAGGTATTATCAGATAGAGTATGCGATATGAAATAGGATTTGCTCCAATTCTTACAATTGGAAGGTTAAAAAGCCTCTTAACGATAACCTTTTAATGTTCACTCAATTTTCTACACGTGTTTGATTTAGGTTAGGTAATTTAGAAAGAGATTGACCTCTCACATCTACTTCATACTTGTTGATTTTCCATAATTGAGTATACTCAATTTATCTATACACAATGAACTATTCAGGCGGTAGATTATACAATGATATATCTGTGCAAGTGCAGTTTACTTCCTTCTTTACCTTTTATACATACCTGTAAAGAAGCATGATCAATATCCTGCAATGACGGCCTTCCCTTCTTATTTATGCTTACCTTGATACATCTTGTCATCTCCACCGGTTACATACCTACCTAAGGTACTAGCACTACGTCGGAACCTTTTATTTATTTCTCCAACTGCCCCTCAATTTTTCCGTCTATGATTTCTCTCCAGGTCGGGGTAAGGGGTATGGTACCTTAAGCTTAACAAGACATTCGTAACTAAGATAAGATACCAAAACAGGAGGTAGTTACATGAACCCGACTTTATAAGAATACGTTATAAGACTACGTGAATTATACAAGAATCTGCCCCTTCTCATCTTGATCTATATTCTTGTTTTACTCGGCTCTCCTAAGGTTTCCTTGGATCCTCGGGTCCGTTATAACTGCCTTTATTCAATTCCCTTCGACTTACAGGACAAACCACCAAAATGGCAGCAGAAGTAATCAAGTCGGCTATTGTACCGACAAACTCCCCTTCGCCACTAAATGTGTTGATGGTGCGTATCACTATAGCATATGGCATATGCTTAGCAGATCTTTGCTCTAAACTGACGTGCCATAAGGTCGGAACAGGCGAATATACCACTGGGTTTGTCGGTGGTGGTGCCTCAGGGTCGGATAAGAAGGTGGGAGTCGTCGGCTTGACTCTATTTGATCTCCGAAGGAGGGGAAAGGTGGCTAAACTGAGCATGGTGGGAACAAATGGGACGAAATTCCCAGCTATTAGTGAGATGACTTCTTTAATCCTAGGCTGGGCGTAAAGGGGCTACCAATAAGGTGAATGGACACTAATATGAGTAGGACAACATCTCGATACCAATATCTCTAAGATCTACAATGGCTTGGACTGCTCTTTCGACTCCTACCCGCCGAACGACGTCAAGGACCCCGATGCTTACAAAGCTGCTATTGATGCCTTGAAACCAGGTGACGCCATTACTATATTCACCCCGGATACGACGCACTATCCAATCGCTCTATACGCAATTGAGCGCGGAATACATGTCTTGATAACCAAGCCTGCTGTGAAGACATTAGAACACCACCAAGCCCTAATAGAGGCTGCTAAGAAGCACAATGTATATGTTTACATCGAGCATCATAAGCGATTCGATCCAGCATACTCAGACGCCAGATACAAGGCGCAGAAGCTCGGCGACTTCAACTATTTCTATAGTTACATGTCTCAGCCAAAGTCTCAACTAGAAACCTTCAAGGCGTGGGCTGGTGTCGACTCGGATATCTCGTACTATCTTAACAGCCACCACATAGATATTTGCGACTCGATGGTTTCACAACAAGGGTTTGTTCCAATAAAGGTCACGGCCTCAGCCGCGAAAGGTATTGCTACTAGTCTCGGATGCAATGAGGCCACCGAGGACACCATCACGGTTATGGTTACCTGGCAGAAACAAGGTGACACGAGCAAAGTTGCCACGGGGGTTTACACAGCGTCGTGGACTGCACCGCAAAAGGCCGGCGTGCACTCCAACCAATACTTCCACTACATGGGATCGAGTGGCGAGGTTCGTATTAATCAGGCTAAGCGTGGGTACGACGTCGCGGACGATAGTGCCGGTCAGCTTATGTGGTACAACCCATTCTATATGAAATACGCACCCGACGAAGAGGGCAACTTCGGAGGCCAGACCGGATACGGCTATATCTCCTTCGAGAAGTTTGTAGACGGATGCCGAGCGCTGAACTCAGGGGCGCTCAAGCCTGCTGACCTGGATGCGAGAGGACTTCCGACTCTAAACAACACAATTGCGACGACGGCCATCCTAGAGGCCGGTCGGCGCAGTATAGATGAGGACAGGGAGATTAAGGTTGAAATCAAGGACGGCTTCTGGAAATTGGTATAAAACCTTGACTATGGGATAGTATCTCGGCGCTGGGTCTTAGGATCTTCCTATTCGGGCAATGGAATTCAATAGTCTTCACCTATGCTCATCAATACAATTGAGTTGGTATTCAAAGTTGATTATGGGAGACTGGCCGTAATGTTTGTTTTTCGTCGTCTTTTTTCTCAGCGGAAAGAAAGGTAAAGAGGTACCTAATCTGTCCGATCGAAACAAATATAGGGGTATATCGCCCCATAATTATCATGCCTTCAGCGATCACCCTTTTCCCTAAATTCGGCCGTATTTCCAGGCTAATTTATCTAGGCCTTTGGCAATATCTCTAATATTTCAATATGATTAGGTCATATATACTGTCTTTGAAGGGGCTGTTCCCTATCTTCCGGTCGCAAATGCCCCCTGGTTTCCAAAGCCCGTTCTTTACAAGCACAGCTCTCTACTACCGTTCCTATTTCTAAGTATAAGACTTGCATTTTGTACATGCCATAAGCAAGCTGGCCTTGATATCAGTTTAGAGACTCCGAGGTATCTGCCAATTGCCTTAGAAACTCGCTTCGGTGAGATCAGCTAGCGGGAACGCTCAGGTTTGGAATTGGAGATTCGACACTTACATGCTAAGGCAGGATATCTCTAAAGGTACAAGATACACGTTACATCGTAAACTAAGTCGCAGGTCTTCCATTGGCCACCTGAAAGCTCCCGAGGGTAGCAAGCTGGCCGGTTTACTGTATGTTTTGCCGATTCTATTACTTCAAGTAAGGAGCCGGATTTCCATCGGCTGATAGCGTGTAGAATGACTCTAGTCTTTCTATCCCAGTGTCCGCAATTGCCAGATTATTCCAACTGGAAGCAATGTATGGGCCATCTAATCTAACTTTTCTCTTGCAAATCCCTATTAAATCTTTCTTGAATAGTCATATCATGAGTGACGACCAGCACAAACCCACATCAGTCAGCTAGTTCAACTGCGATACCTCATATCTAATGTACCCCGTGAGATACCTAATACATCACTCATAGAGATATAATCATCCCTTTAATCTTTGCCCCAAGTATCGGGAAGTCCTGAGAAAGGAGTCGGGTGATTGTATCGGGATATCTTGACTGATCTAGACTGGATCATCTGCGAAAAATAGCGGAATAGACCAACCACTACATAGTAACCACTAATTCCTCCATCTTCTCATTAATCAGCGCAGTCTACAATACGGTCTATTTCACGTAATATAGGACTTGGTGGCAGTGCTATCCCCGAAGTCGGTCTCTATCATCCACCAAAATATGCGTGGTTTCAATTCTAGAGCTACGGACGAGACACTCGCTCGTTGAATATCTCCCACTAATTTATAGCTGTCGTAGTCTATTTTATGTAGCTAAAGAAATTTCTATATCTCTATTACTATAATTGTTGTAAGCAAACCATATGAAGCTATCATACAGATTCGCCCAGGAATAAACCCACGGCAAACTAGCTCGCGGTATCTTCACAACACTACTACTTCTACATGCTCTTTTTATATTGAATTAAACCCCGCGCTCATACCAGCTCTTAATGATACCCTCAATGGTGGGTTCATATTCTCTCAACACAACTATTCCCTCCTCGATAAAAGTATTGGCTTGTACATTCAATAAAGGAGGTGGCTTGTTTTGAATAACCGTTTTTCTCGGCTTCAGATATTTCCCGTCCACATGAGACAGTTCTTCATAGTATTCCCTACATTCCTTCACATTGGCGGTACAGCGATATATGTGAAGGCGCAATAGCATCTCGCCAAGCGCTTTCTTTCCGTGACTCACTATCCTCGATCTATCAACTAGTACTCTTAGTTGTCTAGTATCCGTGTTGTGATGGATATCGATGCATCCATGGCCGTGCCTGAGCAAGCATTTAAGTATAGCAAAATGAGCCTGTAGCATATCAGCTTTCTCCTAAGGTTAAATTACAGCTATCCTCATACCCGGCTATGAGCTTGTCCCCATTTCTGCAAATTCAAGTTAACGAAGAACCTCTCTGCCGCATTAATAACTTACCATGCCATCGACATTATAATTAGAGAGGGCTCGAAGACCATCAACCCCGAGCTGTTGGTAGAGATTATAGGTTACTTGATGATGTCAGTAGTTAACTTAGAAAAGCAGGTATGGGTATATCTACAATCGCCGGATCGAATAGTTGATTCATCCGTAAAGCCGAAGAGAGCCAACAGTTCTGGATCGTCCATGAGGTAAGCCCCCACAAGCTCGGCTCTACACTCATCTAGTGTCGTTGCTAAGTCTCCGAATTGGCCGGTCCATGTTTGACCTGGTTTGTACCAAGTTCTTATAGGTTGCCCGTCAAGAGGGTTGATCGGCGGGTTCTTGGGATCGAAGTTAAACTTGTTAGTAGCTTCTTCAATCATCATCTTACCTGTACCGTGACCTAACAGCTCGTGAAGTACAACCCACCAGTAGTACGCGGGGTACTTGTGTTTCCTAAATACCTCCACTTCAGAGTCGTCGATGAACGGCCATTGCATCGCAGTACTTTCAGCTATCATACAATTTGCGATGATGACATTTTTGAATCCCACATCTTGACGGATATCGTTATACTGTTGAGAATTAAAACTTTAGCGAATGCGGGCTAGAAACTGGCGAGGAAAAGCCTACGTTGGGAAGGTTGATTCCTGGGAAAATAATACTCGAACAGTATGCGAGTGCTGTAGCTGTTAGGTTTCAATATGACTAAGGGTGAAGTAGATAATCCCTACCATGAATGCTAGAGAAATCGGGCGCTTCAAAGAGAGATTTTTCGAATAGCCCCTTTCCATTGTTCTCAGCGGCCGCCCAAGGTAGTCGCCGAATAAATTTATCAGAGTTCTCGACCAATTTCGACAAGAGCTTCGTCTCATTGGCATCAGCGATCGCAACCAAACCTTCGAACTCAGCGCGAATACCAGTTGGGTCTCGATACGGCTCCACAAAGCCGAAGATATTCTCAACTTTGGGTGCTTTATCCGCGATCCACGTCCGTTGAGAATCCCGATACACCTCAAGGTTACCGGTTTGGAAGCTTTCAATGTATTGAGTTAGGAATTTCTTCTGGGTATCGTTCGCAGCGTACTCCGTAGCTCTTGACAGATTTTCGCAAATATTTTTTAGGTATTCGGCATGATCACCACGGACTAGCCTTACGCTAGCGGATGAGTTCGTAATATCTAAGGGCTCTGTTTGGTCCGTTGATATGATTGAAGCCTGAAGGACCTCGAACGAAGTTTCACCAGTTTTCCGTACCCTAGTATTCTCGGGTAGTATGGAATGGGCATCCATATGCCTCGAAACGAGAGCAATTTCTACTTTGCTCATTGAATCTCCTGGATAATAAGAGCTTTAGGCCAATGTGCTGGGATATCCAAGGGTGACAGGCGGCATTGTCATGATAGGACCCTGTATGTTCCTATAGAGTCCTAAGAGTTTAGGTGATCGAGAGGCAAGTTTCTCTATTGTACCGGGGCGTAACCGAGGAATGAACTTCTGATCTCCTGACCCCTTTAATAACTTAGTTGCCTATCTATCTTGAGATTTGGGAACAGCCTACGTAATAGTTCCCGATGTTGGACAGGAAAGTAGCCGCAAATTCGAGGAATGCTTCGAGGTCCTTTACAGCTACTCCATCATCCTTTGAAAATTGATTCCAGTCGCCACCGCATGATCTGTGAAGTTCCATTATAAATTCAAAGATCCCAAGAGACTCTGGGGAGACTTGGCGGAGAATAATTCTTGCGCCGGACCATGCTGCCCTAGGATTAGCCATTAGTATCAACAATAAGCATACCGTTGGATGAAGTGAAGGTTGCGACTAATTGACCTTGATAAGTAGTGACTATAAAGTTTCTCTTTTTCGGATAGACGATCAAATAGTGGCTTAACGCCTAACTTATAGATTTGCACACGAGTAGCCATGGTCTTCCCTTGGATACTCTCTCCTACAGCAGCCCTTACTGTATCAGATTATAGAAATCGAATATAGAAGAACCTTTAAAATATAAGGTTCAATCATAATATGAACTCAGTGGCTTGGAAAGAGAAGGGCGGGGTCAGACAATCACTGCAGATTCGGTAGTACAATCTACAAACATTAGGTACATAGACTTATCTGCAGTGTCACTTGACGATAACGTACTACTCGGTATAAGAACGCATAACTATGTTAGAAATACTTATAAGAAGTTGTCGATATTACTTGTGTTCAGTAGTCTTTAACCACTAGTTATAAGTACTAAAGTGTTACGTAACTAATAGAAACTCCGAAACTAGTTAGTTATATAAGACTTTTAGCCTTTAGTCTTCGTCTATTTGGTTTCTGGGGAAGTCTATGCTCATTCATCGAGAATTTGTTGTATTCTGTAATAGTTCCGGTTACGTCTATGAAATTATGTTAGTTAGATTTTAGCTAATGACGAACAACGTGATGATTTCTCAAAGCTTAATGATTAGCATCACGGATTATAGGAACACCTTACCTATTTTTAATACCAGTAGAAAACATAGGTACTCCAGTGGAGGCCGGATGGGAATATTTTAGTTACATATCCCTCTTGGGTGCAGTATGGCTATGACGGCTGTAATTCATCGGTTGAATAACTTGTAGCCTGTCTTACGAACCAAATTAAAATATTCAAGACATATTGTATGCTAATGCAATATATGCACCGTCGAATGGATTGAGAAGCTCAGCGATGGTCTTATCAGATTGTACTGGTGCTCACCTATTTCCTCTTTAATCGCCATTTACGTTCACATGTCAGCAGATAAAACTTTTTAAAATATAAAAGGGGGTTTCACCCCCTCGTAAGTTATAACCGGATCAACGACTACGTTCTACAGGCATATGCCGTTGTGTATATATTAAATCACCTTATACCGTGCTATATGTTATGGCTAATTTGCCGTTAACCGCTCGAGGATCGTACGCATGTCGTATGTAATATGCATTGCTCGTGAGACTTGGGGACGGTTGTATTTTGCCGAGGACACACGGGGCCCCCGCCAAGAGGTTCTTGGGGAATGTAACATGGACTGCTTGATATATGAACCAGCCGCGTAGCATTAAAAAAAGCAAGCTCCTTAAACTTAATTCTTTAAAAATTAGACTTATTAAAGGGAAGCTTCAAAATATCACTGCGTACCTATAGTTTAATATCTTGTCCTGGTGAGTTTACCGCGTTTTTTATCCTACCTCAGAGGATTCATTGAGTCCGATATAAAGTCCGATACATTTAATGCAAGAGGATGTGCGGGGATTCTTGGAGTAGGCATTGAGATTTATTCCAGAGGCTGCTGGCAGCGCTCTTCTCCCAACGGGTTTCCGCTCCGTACCTCTCAACAAACTATTGTATCGAATGGATACTGACAATTCCTATTGATTATTATAGGAAGGATTGACATCAGCCCCGGCTTATTTAATCAATCAATCAATCTTGTATATATACCCAGCCGACCATGTCACTCGGTCGGGAATCTATCTTACAGCTTTCTACAGTCAATACAACAAACCACAATGAGGGATGTTGGCATACTGGATTTTCACGCGGTGATTTGGGATAACTTTGCGATAACTTTTGCGATAACTTATTCTTAACTTGTCACCCAACAAACTTGAACCTGAACTCATCCTGAGATCCGAAGACTCACCATGGCGCTGACCCCGTTAGAAGCAACCCGTTCATTCGACCGGACCAGAGGAGGTTTCTGGGGAACTAGGGTTGATTGATCGTCAGGTCAGGTCAGGAACGAAAGTTTGTCCATAAGCTGCCATGGATAATGGATGGATAATGAACGCTGAGAATCCTTCTTTGCCTTCTCTTGGCTTGGTGCATTCTTTGTAAGATGCAGGACTAAGAAGACCTAACTGAAATCAGCTTTAGCGTTGCCGTAGGGCAGAAGGATGCTGGGATGTTAGGAAAGTTTCGGCGATAAGCACCCGTGGACATGGCTTATCGATCGGAGGAACAATGAAGCGAATAAGAACTTACATACAGCACGGGAATTTACCTGCAGCGGGCAATCCGAGCCGATCAGGACCATACTTGCCTGAAGTTACGGTCAGGAACATTAGGTAGGTTAGGTACCTAGGCAGGTACCTAACCTGACCTGAACTAAGGCACCTAAATTTAAGTTTTAGGGCAGGTGCGGCTAGTCATACTACCCACGTTTGTCCATTGGCAACTACCCCCGTGTTCGCAGATCTCACGCGCCATCTAGAAAAATTAAATCACTCTGCGAACTTTTTTTTCTTTTTCCTTCGACTTCGACGGCACCTGCGATTCTCACGTTTTTGCGGCCAAAATTACCTCGTCCTCTAGGGCCTCAAATCAATTAACTGCGTTTCTCGTCAATGTTGACGTTCCTCTCCATCGTTTATTTCACTTTCATTATTTGATTTTAGTACTTCCGCCCGTCCGAAACCCCAGGTTCTCCGGATTGACCGTGCCGTCCGCTCCTTACATCGGCGCTCCACAATCGACGATCGTGAATTACCTATTTATTACTTATTATTACTACTTAGAGCTGGCCAATCTGTCAATTCCGCGCACTAATCGATAAGCCACAATCGTCCTCATTCCTTGGTAAAGTGCTTTGCCGCCACAGATAGGTGCTTTTTGTGTCGCAAACCAAGTACCGGCGAAATGTCCAAAACCACAATTGTGAAGGAGGTGGTCAAAGAGAGCCTCCTTGGCTCTGAGGAGCCCTCCACCCTTTCTGCCTCGCACCGTGCCTTATTCATGGACAATGCCAAGAAGGATGAGCACACAGGAGAGTTGTATATGGGACCGGAGGAGTTCATTGAGGCTATTGCCCCGCCGAATGAAGACTACGTGAGCTCTTATTTATATTCTAGGCTGATAGTCAACTTTCAATTGCTAATCTATTGCTCTTCTCTATAGCACAAGATTAGCCGTGATCAATACGGCCTCCTCTTCCGCGTAGCCGATCGCAAAGACACTGGTAGAGTGACGCTTCACGACTGGGCTGCCTTTGAGAACCTATTGATGAAACCCGACGCCGAGTATGAGATTGCATTCCGTCTTTTTGATATTAGCCGCACTGGGAGCGTTAAGTACGAGGACTTCCGGCGTCTATATGAAAACAACAAAGGCCCTGACAGCATTCCCTTCGACTGGGACTGTGAATGGGCAAAGCTCTACATTGGTGATAAATCTAAGCGCCATACCCTCTCATACTCCGAGTTCTCGCAAATGCTCCGTGGTCTTCAGGGCGAGAGAGTTAGACAAGCCTTCCAGCTTCTCGACAAGGACAGAGATGGATACATCGAGCCTGAAGACTTCGCAAGAATTATCCTGGAGACAGCGAAACATAAATTGTCCGATCATCTCTTGGACAACCTTACCACCCTCTGCAACATTTCCACTGGCAGCAGAATTTCATACGCAAATGTTCGGGCTTTTCAGAACGTCATCACGGAGATGGACTTGGTGGAGTTAATCATACGTCAAGCTTGTAAGAAGAGCGGCGATGGGAAGATTACCAAAGCTGAGTTCTTGAACGAGGCAGCAAAAATCACCCGGTTCTCATTGTTCACCCCGATGGAGGCAGATATCCTCTTCCACTTCGCCAGTTTGGATGAGCCGTCTGGTCGATTGAGTTTGATCGACTTTGCTAAGGTTCTAGATCCATTATGGAGATATCGTAATTATGCGGAACAGTCTCAGCGTGGTCTAGGATCGCAAAAGGCTAAGAGCAATACGCAAAGCTTCCTCCTGCAAGCTGCTGAGTCTGCCTATAGCTTTCTCTTAGGAAGTGCGGCTGGTGCTTTTGGCGCCTTCATGGTGTATCCTATTGATCTAGTCAAGACCCGAATGCAGAACCAACGAGGTGCTGATCCGGGGCAGAGGCTTTACAAGAATTCTGTCGACTGTTTCAGAAAGGTTATCGCCAACGAAGGTTTCCGCGGTCTCTACTCTGGGGTCCTGCCTCAGCTAGTCGGTGTTGCTCCGGAAAAGGCTATCAAGCTTACAGTAAATGATCTCGTCCGCGGCTTTTTCACAGACCCAAAGACACACCACATACCTTGGGGATACGAAGTTCTAGCAGGTGGTACTGCTGGTGCTTGCCAAGTTGTGAGTCTATCTTATTTAATTCTACTACTTTCCCCTTAGCCTTCCATTCAGCTTTGCTAATATATAATTAATAGGTCTTCACCAATCCCCTCGAGATTGTTAAGATTCGACTGCAAGTTCAGGGAGAGGTTGCGAAAACTGCTTCAGGTGCACCGAAGCGCTCTGCAATGTGGATTGTTAAGAACTTGGGTCTTGCAGGGCTTTATAAAGGTGCTTCGGCCTGCTTACTTCGCGATGTGCCGTTCTCGGCAATCTACTTCCCAACATACAACCATCTCAAGAGGGATCTCTTTGGCGAATCTCGCACCAAGAAGCTCGGAATCCTCCAGCTTCTCTCAGCCGGTGCCATTGCTGGTATGCCCGCTGCTTACCTAACTACGCCTTGTGATGTGATCAAGACCCGTCTGCAGGTTGAAGCACGTAAGGGTGACACAAGTTATACTGGCCTCCGACACGCAGCAGTTACAATCATGAAGGAGGAAGGCTTCCGAGCCTTCTTCAAGGGTGGCCCTGCTCGTATCCTTCGATCATCCCCTCAGTTCGGCTTCACACTTGCGGCCTACGAAGTTCTTCAGAGCGTCTTGCCATTCCCTGGAAAAGCAAAACCAGACCAAGTCCACACTGGCGTCGCAGAAGTCGTAGGCGCCATCAAGGAGAAGGATCTCACCTCGCCCCATGCTCGCAGCCGAAACGCCCTAAAGATCATCCTCGACCTTGACGAGAACTTTGGCCGCTTCAAACTCCCCGATCAACAGGCTTGGAAGACGATACCGAAATTCCTCGGTGGTGGAAGTTCCTAATGATAGATTATGTAGAACACTT